AGAGAAAGAAATTAATTAGTCTCATCACCCCTGAATAAAAAGCCCATCCATTCTATTGGCAGTTGCTACGAGGGGATTGCTTTATGCACTCGCGTAAGTTTCTTCTGCACTTGGAGATTGTAAAAGACGAAACTATCCATAGTTTCTTCCCTGACACCACCACTCCACTAGCACCGTTGCCATCATTGTTGCCGACAAGAAATGTCCACGTACTATGTCATCATTTCTGTAGTGAAATATACGACATTCACGTTTTGTTTTTGTGAGTTCTGCAATATCCTAGAATATTATGAACTGCGTAATGGAGAAGTTAGTTTTCAGTTTTATATCATATAATTCAGAAAGTTAAGGTCCAATTCAGAATATAATTTTATTTGTTTGTTACATAATCTGAAAGTTTAAATTGTATTTTATATCATAAAATTTGGAAGTTAATGTTATATTCTAAATTTTATAATTTGAAAATTAATATTAAGTTCTAAATTATGTTAATGAGGAGAAATTGGTATTTTCGTATTTCTTTTATACATAACAAAAGCCTGCTAGTACAGAAAGAAACCCCTCGCTTGGAACTGGGTTAACCATTTCAAGCCCAAAAACCCAACTCGAGTCCCATTGCTTCCTCCACTATTATCAAATGCTTCATGCATCACACCATGTCTAATTTGTTCTTTCAGTAAAACAGATATCAACATTTGTTTCACTTTCAATGAATGTCAATATCTGTTTCACGTTTAACGTAGATGTTGGCATCCGTAGAAAGTTACATCTTTCAATTTTTTTTGTTATTTTAATTTATTGTTTTTATTTTAGATTTTATTTTAATAATTTTTTTATTTGTACATATAACAAAAAAAAATTTAAATACTCTATAAATTAATTTAAACTACAATAAATTAATAAACTTAAAAAAACACATTGAACTGATGTGGCCACATTTGTGGCATATCCGTTTAAGTAATTAAATAAAAAATATTTAAATAATCAATTAAATAATAATACGTAATTAACATAAAACAAAAATCAATTTAATTAAATAATAATAATTAATTCATTAAATAAAATAAAATAAAATAAATTTACATATAATTACGTAATATATTATAAAAAATAAAAAAATTAAATACTCTATAAATTAATTTAAAATATAATATTTTAATAAACTAAAATTCTAAAAAAAAAAAAACTTAACGGATGTAGCCACATCCGTTAACGAATGTGGTATATCCGTTTAACTAATTAGATAAAAAAATATTTAAATAATACATAAAAAAATTAATTTAATTAAATTAATAATAATTAATTAATTAAATAAAATAAAATTAATTTAAAATATAATATTTTAATAAACTAAAAACTAAAAAAAAACTTAACGGATGTGGTCACATTCCTATCTGTTTAACTAATTAAATAAAAAATATTTAAATAATCAATTAAATAATAATACATAAAACAAAAATCAATTTAATTAAATTAATAATAATTGTTTCATTAAATAAAATAAAATTAATTTATATATAATTACATAACAAATTTTTTAAAAAATAAATAATATTTATATATTAATTTAAAATACAATAAATTAATAAACTAAAAACTAAAAAAAAAACAAAAAAAAACATAAATCTTGAATGGATGTGGCCACATCTGTTAACGAATGTGGCATATCCGTTGAAGAATTTTTCTTCAAAACGAATGTCGACATCCGTTGAAGAAAAGAAGTGGGGGTGTAGGATTTTTAAAAATATAAAAGATAGTTTTGGAAATTTTAAAAAATGTGATGGTGCAGGGAGCAATATGGGGTGGTGTAGGGAGCAACCCTCTAACCTTAACGGGTCTCGACCTTAATCCCCGGGCTTCATCATTACTGAATTTGAACTTGCAACAAAATATTTTTCTCTTAACTTTTATTTACAACTACATCAATAACATCTCAACATAGGGAGTTTCACCTCGCACGTTTTTTTTTTAGGAATTTAGTGCATTGATTGAAGCAATGTTGAAAGCGTGAAATATATGCTTCAGTAATCATAAAGACTCGTGTCTGCACTCCCATTTCATTTATTCTCCTTCCTTCGTTGAGTGTGGTCTTTTAGAGAGATTTTTGTTAAGGTTGTTCGTGTTTGAGGCAGTTGGAGGTGGTGATTCGAGGTAGTTAGAAGTGGTGGTTTGAGGCAGCTGGAGGTGGTGGTTCGAGACAGTTAGAGGTGATGGTTCAATACAACTAGAGTTGGTGGTGTTGTGTTGGTGGTTGGCATTGGCGCTGGGGAGTGTTTTTTTATGATTCTTGCTTCAAAAAAAGTGCATGAATTTATAATAAAGTCTAATTTTCCTTTATCAAATTTCGATATGAGATAGAGGACACGTCGGATGTCGACATCAGAGAAAGAATTTGGAGTAAAAACATGAATCAAATATGGAAATCTTAAAATCACAACTTCGAATGTCGAAATTCGATAAAGGAAGAGTCATATTTCGATTTCTAATGGTGTAACTTTCCGATTTCCATATCTGATTCATGTTTTTGAAGGTTTTTTAAATGCTTAATTATATTAGTTTTTTAACTATTACATTAGTGTTTATTTTTCTTAAATTTTTGTATAAATTTGTATGACTTTATAAATGTTTAATTAGATAATTTTAAATGTTAAAATAAAATAAGATTAAAGATATAAATAAAATAAATTTAATTTTAACTTAATTAATCCTGATAAGTAGATAAATAATATATTCTATCTTAATATTTTTATTCCAATTGATTATAATAAATTCCTAAATAGTGCATTATATCTTATTATTATTATCTAACAATAATATCTAATAATATCTCAAGATATATTTTAATTTATAACTATATAACAACAATATCTAATAATATTCTTTTAAAATATTCAAAATCTTCTAATTAAATTATCATCCTTGCTAACTTTTGTAACAATTATAATAATTATATCATAAAATAATATAAAAAATACAATTATATATATATATATATATATATATATATATATATTATATATATATAAAAGAAACTCACAACTAACATATTTATTTTAAAAAAATGTATAACAATACTTTTTAAACACTACAACATGAATACAATTATTTATTTATATATTATCACCACATATAAGTGTGAATTTATATTATATACTATATATATATATAAAAGAAACTCACAACTAACATATTTATTTTAAAAAAATGTATAACAATACTTTTTAAACACTACAACATGAATACAATTATTTATTTATATATTATCACCACATATAAGTGTGAATTTATATTATATACTATATATATATATATATAATATTATTATTATAACCAACCCAAACCATATTAAAACCATAATTCTACGTTCTTAAATAAAATAATTATTTTAATATATCATGAAATCACAAAAGAAAAGTGCCACGCAAAATGTTATTTACACAATTATGTATATAATTATTACTAAAAGAGATGTACTAAAATATAAATACAAGATGCAAAGATGAAAGAGTTTGAAACAATTAAGAAATACTCAAATAAATTGTGTATTTGCTAACAAGGTAAAATGGTAGGGAGTTTCCATATACCAAACCCTACCACAAAGATAGAAAACATTTATTGCTTCGTTAGAAAATACAAATTGGTCTACAATTATTTTGATAGAGATAATAATACCTTATAAGCACAATAGCAACGAAGATTGATAAGAGGATTAATAATAGAAGATCATACGAAGGTGAATGTGTTTTACTTCATATAGAAGAGAATGCTCTCATAGTTGAGAACAAACAAAAGGAATAAATACAACAACACACAAGTTTTTCCATCTTTGTCCCTATTGTAAGAAAAAAGAATCATCAATCCAATGTGGAGGCCAAATCCCAAGATCCTCAAGAAGATGTCAAGATTGTAGAGGACTAATCAAAGGAAGAACTACTTCTTACAACATCATGTGTTACAACAAACAAGTTTACCAAAGATTAGATTATAAATAATGGTTGTACAAACCACATGACTCATGATGAATAACTTTCAAGGAGTTCCACAAATCAAATATTTTTAAAGTAAAAATTGGGAATAGAGAACAACTTGTTGTGAAAGATACCAGAACAATTTCAATTAAAACTGAAGTTAGGTATCAAACTAATTATTGTTTAAGATTACTCAAAATTTGTTAGTGCTGATCAAATAATAGAGAAAAGTTATAAGGTCTCATTTGAAAATAAACTTTGTGGGATCAAAGATGCTAAAAATCTAGAAGTATTTAAAGTTCATATGAGAGACAAAAAGATTTGATCTGGGTTTGATGAATGAGGAATTGGCTACAAATGAAGAAAATATAAAAAAGAATGATCCACCAGTGTAAAATAAACTTTTTATACCTGTTAAAATAGACTATTTATACCTGTTTTTGAGTTGGTATAGAAGTAAGGGGTATAGAATGTTTTCACTTTTTTACACCTGTTTCAATACAGGTATAAAAATATGTTATACATACCTAGCAACCAGGAAACAAGTTTAAAAGAATCACACTTTTATACCTGCTAGTCATAGAACAGGTATAAAAGAATCTCACTTTATACCTAGTTATGTTATAACCGGTGTAAAAAATTCAAGACTTTTTATACCTGTTTTGGCTTTAACCGGTGTAAAAAAATGACTTTTTTTTAAATGTTTGATTTGTTTGTGCTATTATCCATATCCAGACCTGCCTAAAATTCAATTTTATAATACAGTCTAAATAATCAATAACAAACAAAATAATCAATATTGTTTATATTAACACATCAAAATATAATATTTACCTAACAAAATTTCTAAATAATTATTTACATAACATAGTTACTTAACATCGTTACATATAAAATAGTTTCTAAAATTAAAATGTAATATCGAAACATCTAATCATTTACAAATGGTTAAAAAAATGCAGACCACTGCTTCCGAACATGCTTTATGACATGTTGCTCCATTGGAGATGTGTCATCAAATATCTACACATTGAATAGTTTGAGTCAAGTAAAACATTAAATATTTTCTTTGCCAATGAAATGTTTTCTTTTGTCTCATTTCTCAATAATACATGCTTCAACTTTTATTATTCTACTTTTCTAAATTCTCAACAGATACACCACCTTTAAAACTCATGATTCATACTTTCCTAAGATTCATAATTTTGTATAATTAAAACTGTAATTATTTTAAAATAAGGTAATATTATACATTGATTTATTTGAAGGAAAATAATACAATTTACCTCTTCAACTTTGTTGGTAAGTGAAATTTTAGAACATGTTAATAATCATTGGAGTAGGGGGAGCCCAATTAGAGGGTGGTCGAGATTGGTAACATGTACAACAGACAAATCTTAACAGAACATGTTAATAATCATTTGTGATTTAGAAATTAAATTATTAAACTAAATGCGTGTTTAATTTGTGGTTTAGACATTCGATTGTTAAATTTAATTTAATTTAAGCACCATACCTTAGAAGTGGTGCTTTAAAACCTGCAAAAGAGATTGAATGCGTGAAGTTAGATGAAGATAATAAAACTGATACACAAAACAAGGAAGTAAGAGAAAGGAACGAAATAACATATACATCGAACCAAATCCCTATATTACCCATATAATATAATATAATGAGCTTGGCTGTTCGAATTTTATTATTTATTTCTGCCATTGACTCTTAGTTTTGTTGAGAAATTTTGAAAGTGCAACCTTTTGTTATGATAAAGAGCTCAGTGTTCTGTTTTTTGAATAATCTTTCAATATTTTTTTACATTGTTAAAAACTCAACTGGTTACGTTTTTTTTAAGAATGATAAGAAGACAAACATTTATATTCATTCAATATATTCTATAATGTTAAAATATTTATAAAAAAATTAAATTTTTAGTCTTCTAAAAGAAAAATAAAATAAAAAAAGAATAATATCAAATAAATATAAAAAATTTATGTATGTGAAATTATCATTTCTCTATTTTTTACGGTATAATTCACTGTCATTTTAGTTTTAACCCAATTCAACATTTATTTCTCCAAACACACCGTTAACTATTAGATGAATTTCATTTCATGTCTCATAAAAAAAGGTTCAATCTCAATTCAATAAGACTTACATAAACTTATTCATAATTAGGGATAGTGAGTGTTAGTCAAATACTTTTATAATTTTACATTATTATGTGCATATAATTTTATTAGTGAAATAATTCTTTAGAAGCACCTTTCCAACCCTAAAAGACACCTAGAAGAAAGACAAAGAATAATTTCTTAATTGTGCCTCTTGATTAATATGTTTGTGTGGGTTACTAGAATAGTTATTACTTATGACATATATAATATATAAACTAAACATCCCACAACTCAATTCAATTATGAAAACATCGTTTTTAATATTAATATATGAATATTAAACTCTCCTATAACTTGAATGACTCTTGGAATTCAAAAATGAGTAGAAAAATTATTCATGTTTAAGTTGTTCTTCTACAATCTCATAACAATATATTCGAACAGCAAAACTCATTATAATTTGTGGTTTAGACATTCAATTGTTAAATTTAATTTAATTTAAGCACCATACCTTAGAAGTGGTGCTTTAAAACCTGCAAAACAGATTGAGCGCGTGAAGTTAGATAAAGATAATAAAATTGATACACAAAACAAGGAAGTAAGAGAAAGGAACCAAATCACATATACATCGAACCAAAACCAAGTAGAAACACAACAATTCTAGATGAGACTTGGCATAACCAGACAGATATGCCTAAGCCAAATGTGGCAAAAAGAAGCACCATTAACATACCTCGCCACTGATGATTTGATTAACCAACTCCTTTTATGACTCAATTTGCTGAAGTGTCCCATAAATTTTCAATGTTCTTTCAGTTGATGTGTCACCTGGAGGAAGATGCAGAGGTATCACCTGAAAAAAACATATGAACATTAGTCACAAAGAACTCCAGATAGAAATTTCCTAGTCATGGGAGTTGGCAGTTAATACAATCTCTTTTCAAATTATTATCAATAGACAAAGCAACGATAAAAATTCCATAACAGCAAATCACAGATATCTAATGCACAAATAAGAGAACAATGTTCTATATATCACTTATACGTAAGCAGTAAGAGTAGTCAGTCATTCTCTGGACATCTATATGCACGTCTCTGAATGACTTAGATTATTTTGATATTTTTTTCGATAATGGACATGAACACTTAAAATATGTTGACTAAGTATAACTTTTTATTGAAAAAAAATACTTTGATACTCTTTATACTCACATCCCATTTTCAAGAAGCTTAATTGTTAATTGAGAAGGAAAAGGAAATTCAAGAAGGTTTCAAACAGGCAAGTATAACTATACGTTGGTTGGGACCGTTTCCAACAAACATGTGATTCCACTCTCCACTACCTAACATCCGTAATCAATCTACCAATTTTACTGCTTGTGTCGCATGTGACTAAGTCCTTGTTTTTACAAATTGGTAACAAAATCTTCAAGAAGAAAAGAATTAGAAAAAAATATACAAAAATTGTCAATTAGCCATTAAGAGAAAAAAAACAAAAAAAAAAAACAGAGATACAGAGGTAAACACAGGTTAACCCTTCGAAACAACAACCATCCTCTACCAGAATTCGAAACAACAAAAATATCACCCAAGAAAGAGAAAAGGGAAAAAACAAAGGAAAAAGACACAACAGCACTTGGACATCAGAATTTGAGCTTTCATTGAAAAAACTGTTTGAGATTTGATCATTTGAATCTTGTTTTGCTATAGGTGGCTCTAACACCAAATTGAAAAATTGATGTTATTGACTGAAGAAAATAATTACTTGTTATTGTATTTGCAAACATGAATATTACCTATACTATGAGGAAAGAAAACTAAATAATATTACCTATAATATCTGCTTCAGATTAGTAGCAGCACCCTGGCCCAATCAATCAGTCTACCATACATTGAATTGAAGCTTCTGAGACATAGACCTTAAGAATCTAAAAGCTAAGAAGTCTAAGCAAATGAAAGATATGAACTCTTTATCTATATAGAAGCTTGAAAGATATGAACTCTTTATCTATATAGAAGCTTGAAAGATATTACCTCTCTACCAACGAATAAAAGTGCCAGTTCCAGAGGCTTGTTAAAATTCTTTCCTTTGCACTATAAAAAATATATAAAAATTAAAAACAATAAGCAAGCAAAATGCAGTATTCTCTTACAGCAAGCAAGACTAATACTTGCACAATAATAATATCTATAGGCTATAAAGGTAACATTATAATAAGATCTGTGTAGGAATTATTTTAATAATATCTTGAACTTTTTAATTTGACTAGCCATGCTTCCCGGCATTGCAATCAACCCAAACAAGAATCTCAGCCCAATTTCAAGCCCTAAAGTACACCACATCAGCTATTTTCTTGAACGATCCAGAAAATCTATCTCCTACTTGTGAACCAAAGCGCGTGTGTAATGCTAGTAAAAATCTATAAATGAATAGTGGGTTTTTTCACTACTTCAATTCCTCCCTTGATTTTCTTCTTCTACAACCTTTTGGACATGGGGTTCTATAGGCTATCCACACTACAACACAACCGTAGAATACCCAAACTCCTTCCAACAAACCCCAAATTCCCCATTCTCCAGCTTCCAAATTAGCCTTACCTTATCCTAATCATAAAAGCCGATAACAAGCTCAGCAATAACCAAATTAAACATAAGTTGTTTACTATTATCCACATCCACAAGAACCATACAGCATGAAACACAGCAAGTAAACATGATTGAATAAGTAAGAATTGTGAACTTACGCAGACACGAAAAAAAAAAGATAAGAATCAGGAGTTACAGTTCATAATGTGATGACCAAAGGAATGCAGGAATGATTGAAGGAACTACTAACAATCCGTTTGGAATAAAAGCAAGAAGAATGAAAACACTAAGCAGCAACACCACCATCGTTGCTCCTACAACTCAAACCACAATCGAAGTTAGATCATGCTATACATTTGATCGATCAGCTTCAGATCGAGTCCAAGCAATGTACAACTACAAATTGTAATAAATTAGACAACTCATCCTCCTGCTGCGCCACCTGCTTCTGCTCCACCGCTCGCGAGAACTCGCTGCTGTAGGAGAGGTGCGATTTTTCTACCATTCCAACCTATAGAAAATCAATCAATCAATTAGTACACGACTCGCAAGCTCTTCAAAAACGCCATCGGAGAGCTCCTAAAAAACGTCAAGGTTGGTGAGTTCCTGAATCTTGAGTTTTCGAAATTAGGGCTTTGGAAAAGAAGAAAGCAAGGAATTAAGGATTGCAAAGTGAGGAAGGGTCTAAAGATAAAGAGGTAGAGACACGAAGGTGAAGATGGAAACTACTAAGTGAAGAGAGAACTAAGAGAAGACGTGAAGCAAAGAACAAGAAGTGACAAACGAAAGAGAAGACACGGGCATACCGGTTTTTAGTATATCCCGGTGTAAAAAATTATTTTTTATACCTGTTTTGAGTGTAATCGGTGTAAAATTGTTTATCATTTATTACAATTTTTCCACCATGCTATATTTTATACCTTTTTTAGTGTAATCAGTGTAAAAAAGTTTCTTTTATTTACCATTTTGCCACTATATCATTTTGTATACCTGATTAATTTTAACAAGTATAAATAGACGCTATAAAAAGTCTATTTTGTACTAGTGATCAAAATCGAAAACAATGAATATCTCTTGAAGAAGTTTGATGTTCAAATGAAGAAAGTAGACGAAGATATTCATTCTAACTTTCATCAAAGTTCCAATGTCACTACCATCAAATCTAGAATTGATAAAGATAACCATGATAGAAGAAGAAAGAGAAAAGCAAATAGGAGAAAATCACTACAAGAATCGCGCTTATTACCGGCGGAACATTATCGAAGGATTTTCGGCCGTCGGTACAACTAAATTACCGAAGGCCTGGAAAGCATTCGAAAGGTTGTGTGTTGATTTAATTTAGCGAGGGTGTTTGGCCGTCGATAAAGTGGCCTGACTTAAGCATTTGGGCGTATTGAGGAGTTTGTCTCCAATTTCGTGACACTCGAATTCGTATTGGTGCCCAATAGAAATTTCCCTCTGTCATTTGCTTCCATTCTCGCCCTCTCCCTTCGCGTTTTATCTCCCTCTCCTTGGCGGTTATCCGTACTGGCGGTCGTTGGCATTGTGTGCCGATATCATTGACAGCAATACCTTAGTGGGTGGTTGGGGTTGTTTGTTTGGTTAGGGTTCTTCGAAACGTTGTCGGTTGTTGGGGTTGGGGTGGTGGTTGGTGGTGTGCGCTTCAGGCTATTGCGGCAGTAGGGGTGCGATTCGTGGTTGTTGGCGGGTGTAAGTCATTGCGGTGAAGCCAAGGTTGGTTGTTGCGTTGAGAGCTCGCAGTCTTCCTTCGATCATTCTGGAGGCGAGGTAAGGTCTTTGTTTTAGAAACGCGTCCTCAATAAATTGTTGCCCAGTTCATGCCTATAGTGTGGGAATGGTGTTTGTGTTTATGGATTATTTTAAATGGTGTTTTGTTTTTGTTTGGTTTGATTTTCGTCGGGTTTGTTTTTTGTTTTTGTTGTTGTTTGCGTAGCAGGTCATGATGTCATTTATGAGAAGGGAAGTGTCTAGAGTAAAAGAATGATTTATGGAGTGAAGTAAGTTAAATTGAATCTAGTTAGGCTTGTGGTGTAAGATAAAACATGAAACGTAGTTACTAAATTAATTCTGATTATGTCCTTCACGTTGTTAACTAATGAACATGTGTATTAGGTAAGGGAGGGGTTCGGGTTCATGATAAATCAGGGATTAACAGGGGTTTCATTAAATGAAATGGGCTGTTTTGGGAAGTACGATAAAATAAAATGAAGTTCTTTAATGTTTCTGTCTTGTTCATGTCAAAACCAGTGTGCACTATCAACCAACATTAAAAATGTTTCTCTTCATTTGAAACCTTCCCTTTCTCTAACTTTTTCATCTCCACCTTTGGTAGTGAATTCTGGTTGCATCATATAATGTGAGAGATAATTTGCTGCCATTGTGTTTCAGCCAATAATTTAGAAGCAACTTCTGATACTTTTTTTGTAATTTTTTGTT